TGTAGCTTTGGGAACAGGAACTCTAGGGTCAGGAACTTTAGGACTGTAGCTTTGGGAACAGGAACTCTACGGTCAGGAACTTTGGGATGAGGAGTTTTCGTATTAGCAGTTCTGGATCAGTACCTGTCCCTGTGTGTGGGGACTCACCTGTGTTCAGCCACGTTGTGTTTGGGTAAGATGGTTCCTGCTTCGTCTTCATGGCGGCAGATGATGAAGAGCGAGCATTGACCTCTAAAGTCCTCCTGAGAGACACCCGAGATGACTCCCTGTCCACTGAAACGGACCAGAGAACCAGTTTGTCCCAGTTTACTCATGTTGCTGTGCTCGTGCGTGCTCATCTGCTCACACAGGCTCATGTTCGTGCTGCTGTTAGGTGCATTGTTTTTATGCTGTTAGTGCTGACGTTTTTCTTACTTCACATCTTAGATCTTGTTACTGTTTTTATTTTACATTTTATTGTTGGATGTAACTGGGACCCTGTGGACATAATCTCGTTCCACCACATGTACCACATGAGGTGCGAATCACAAAAAAAATCTGACTGACTTCAGCGCCCTCCGTGACCCATTCAGAACTTTGTGGCCCGAACACGTGCAGGAGAACTGACGTTCAGTTTGAGTGTAAATAAGAAACGGACCCGAAACACTCAAACTGGACCCAGATTCTCCTTAAACTTCACGAGGACCGTCCACAAGACGCTGAATCAGTTGGTGCTGGTCCAAACACGTGGTTTGTTTGAAGTTGTTGTTGTGCTGAAGTGATTTTATTTTAGATTTTTATCCATTTTGATGATAAAAACAAATTGAAGTCAGACTCTTAAAGTTGGAATGGTTCTGGGTCAAGGTCTGAAGACAGCCGACTGAACGTGGAGTCAGACGGTGAATAAACATTTCAAAAGTGTCGTTTCTTCATTTCTCCCATCAGACTTCACCGATCAATCCAGCGATCGATGAGAGCGGGCCGGACTGTGCTGACTCAAACGTGGCATTTCCACACGTGAACTTCTGCTTGGCTGTGCAATAAAACCAAGATGGCTCCCGCTCCAGCTCGCTGGTCAGGTTAACGCAAGCATTTATCACCAACAAACTCTACTCTGATAAGTCGTTAGAAACACCCGAGCTGCCCTGTCCAGCAGGGCCAACAGGTCCAACAGGACCCGGTCCTGATGTGGACGGCCAGTAGTTTTAGGAGTGGGGTTTGGAAGATCAGATCTGAAGAAACGAGTGAACAAGAAAAAAATCAGACCAACTACACTCTCCTCCTCAGAGAGCCTTTATGAAACTCTAATGAATACAGTTATATAAAATATGAGAGGGTGAATGGTTGTTTGTCTCGTTTGTCTCCAGGTGTCCCTGTGATGGACTGGAGACCTGTCCAGGTGTCCCCCGCCTCTCACACAGTGACTGCTGGACATGGGCACCAGTGACCCGAAAAGGAAGAAGTGGGTAAAGATGATGGATGGATGGACGGATGGATGGATGGATGGATGGATGGATGGATGGATGGATGGACGGATGGATGGATGGATGGATGGATGGATGGATGAATGGACAGATGGATGGACGGATGGATGATAGATCTAGATTTAACCGTCAGCCTGTTGCCTCCTGATTTATTCAATTAAAAGCACCTCATTCCATTTCCTTAATACAGTTTCAGGTCTCCCATCCATCTTTTACCCACTTCTTCCTTTTCGGGTCATGAGGGTCACTGGTGTCCACGTCCAGCAGTCACTGTTCGAGAGGCGGGGGACACCTGGACAGGTGTCCAGTCTATCACAGGAACACCTAGGGACAATTTAAAGTTTCCAATCAGTCCAACATGCGTGTTTTTGGTCTGTGGGACGAAACCGGAGTACCTGGAGAAAACATTTTCCTCCTCACTCGCCCTGGAGCAAGACGGATGCTTTCCTTCCCTCTCCTGCTCCTCCTCTCCTGCTCCGTCTTGTGTATCTTCTGAATCGTAAATTACCGTCATGGATCTGGTCAGCTGGACTTTCAGCACAGCTGATCCAATGTTTTCCACCAAGCGACGGGGTGCTGGAGAACCCTGGTGCCCGGCTGAGACGCACGTGGCTGGGTACGTCGTGGGGGGTGGAAGCTGAAGAGCCTTTCTGGGTCGTCTCAGGAGGATGTTGAAGATTTAGACATCACTGGATTTATGACAGCAGGTTTCTGCTTCTGGCACCGTTGGATACCCGGGGCGTCGGCTGTTAAAGATGGCGGCAGCAGCTTCGGCCACGACAAAGCTGCCGACCTTACGTGAAGGTTTGGCTCGTGCTTCGAGCTCTCGGACTCGGCTGATTCACGAGCTCAACTGATGGAAGTGATTTATGAGAATCGTAGACCACTTGTGTCTTCTGGGACTCACCAGCATGTTGGGGACGACCTCGGAGAAGGACAATAAACACGGACCAGTGGAAAGCCCACAAACCTGGTCATCTTGGATCAAGAGTACCAGCAGAACTCGAGGCTGAGGAGAACGACAGTCGGCCTGCGCAGAAACAACCGTGCTCCTCTGACTCGGACCTCCCTGTTCAGCCTTGAAGCAGGCCGACTGATCCTCCTGGTGATGTGTGTGAACTAAGAAGGCTCTGCTCTATACACCCCCCGAGAACTCCTGTGAACGCTCATCAGAGCTGTACCGACCGACACCAACATCTTCTCCGAACTACGGTCTATCTGGAAGAGCTTCATGACAAATCTCACCATCTTCTCCTCAGATGCATGTGATGAGTCTGTAAATGTGCTGCTGGTAGTTTTGACGTCTTAAATCATGTCCTGACAAGGACAAGGTGTGAGGAGATCTTTTAGTAAGACCACGATCCTCATGGTCTGTCCCTTTTTCTATCTATCGTTCTATCTGTGCTCCCAGAAGCTGAAGCCACGTGCACTCCGCCCGTCTTTTGGACGACTGTATAATCTCGCTGCACTTCGCTGCAACGATAACGAAGCGGATTCTGATTCTGAACATGCAAACTCCACCCAGAAAGGCCCCACGGCCGGGATTCAACCGAAGATCTTTTCACTGAGAGGCAACAGCTCTACCAACTGCACCACCGTGTCACCCACGATTAAAATAGTTAAAAAAAATTTAATCTACAACGTTTTTCCTCAAAAGTTCATTTTTCAGCTTCTTCTTCCTTTTTGGATAAAGTTACATCAGGTTTAGGAAAAGTTTCCCTCTCCTTTCAGAACTGAAGCAACAGGGGGCGGAGCTGCATACACAGAGGGTGGAGCAGCAGGAACAGGGGCGGAGCTGCAACCCAAGGGGCGTGGCTGTCACAGTAATGAGTGGAGCAGCAGTTCATTTAGGAAGCCAGACAAGAGTTTGCACTTTAGAGTGGAAGAGAGCAAAATATGTAATAACCTGTTTGTTTTTACAGTTTTAAATGATTTTTGGAGCAAAGTCTGAAACTACAAAACACAAATTCCAGTCACGTATACTCTGTGATTAGAAGATGCTAAATTTATTCATAACTACACTTTCTTATTTTGAAGCATAAAACATATGACTGAAATTTGTGCCCATCCAAACTCAGCGTCTTCTGTTTCCATCATGGCCGCCCCAAAGATCCTTCGTGTTGTCTCTGATCGCACCTTTGATGTTCAGGAGGATTCATCCAGAGGGTCGGTAGGAAACGGGAAGAGAACTGAACCTGGACTTTCAAAATAAAGCTCAGAGAGAGCCTTCAGAATAAGCCCGTTTTGTCACAGGTTAGATTTTCATAAAAATCAGTTTTTGCATGGACTGAAGAAGCCGAACAACAAACGTCTTTGGACCAAAGTCCAGCTACTTCCTGTGGAAACAGGAAGGACTGTCGGTCAGAATTTAAATGATATATAATGGAAGGAGACGTGAGACGAGTCCTGGTTCAAGGAGGTCTCAGACAGCTTTGGGTTGTTGTGTTTGATTGTCTCAGTTCCGTTTGTGATGCAACTGTCTCCTGGAGACGCTGTGACCTTTGACCTCCTGATGGATGCCCAACGCTGGCCTTGAAAACAAATGGAGCTTTTGTTCCTCCTCGTGTCTCCGATAAGAGAAGTTAAAACCCGGAGTGCAGCTCTGTGTTTTCTTTGTAATGAAACTGAAGATAAAACAGAGCAGAGCGGACCGGTACCGACCCAACCCGAGTCAGGAAAAATGACCCCGGAGCCAGCAAATTAATCTCTGTGGACACTGGAGAAGGAAGGAGCACAGCCCGGTCAGTTTGAGGAAAATTACACCCAGCTGTAAACAAATTTATCATCTTAATCGTGCTGAGAGGAAGAGAGGCGAGGAAGCGTTCCGATTGGTCCAACAGGACCCGGTTCTGGTTTCACTTCACAGAGTCTGGACGGAACCAGCTGCCGGCTGTCAGATTATCAAGACGACGACCGTTTGCTCTTCAGCAGATTACCAGCCCAATAATCTGCCGTTCATCAGATTGTTTCCTGCAGAACCTTTTCAGTTTACCGGTTCTGATCCATTTCATGGTCCAGTATTTAACTCACTGACGTTAAACAAATCATCTTCTCTACCTTTATCCAACGATCTCTCCAAAGCTCTGGGTTTCTTCCTGACCAGAGTCAGAACCACGGTCTGACCCGTCTGCTTCATCACCTCCAGAACCTCCTGGTTGGTCATCCCCTGGACACTGACACCGTCCAGCTGTTCAGGAGGACACAGACAGGAGTTGGACAAAAACAGCAGGACGGAGGACAAATCAAACAATAAAACTGAAGAAGTCCCTGACAGCACTCATTTAAAACCAGTTACTAACCAGAACTAACCAGTTACTAACCAGAACTAACCAGAACTAACCTGTTACGAACATAACTAACAGTTACTAACCAGTTACTAACCAGAACTAACCAGTTACTAACCAGTTACTAACCAGAACTAACAGTTACTAACCAGTT